GAAGTACCTACTCCTAGCTATTAGAACAGACTCTGTCACTTCTCTGTCTAATTGTCATAGTATCCTGCCTCTCACCTTGTATTCAGGGTGTGTGCTTGAAAGTAGGATTGAAGCCACCCATTGCTATATTCTACTTGAAGCTTGTCTGAAGAACACCATGTTTGAAGAAATAGGAAATGAATTCAAGGCTTTTAGGTGAAATGACTATTTCATCGATTTCTGGCTGTTAAGCCTTGGAATGTTTATTTGAATTATAGTTGCCATATTTACCTAATTTATAAAACACAGTTCATAGACTGATTTTAGTAGTCAGAATATATGCGGCAGATTTTCTCTGACCTCACCGAGATCAAGTCTTGATACATGGTTCAACTGTTACTATTCATTACATTTATTGTCGCCTTCACTCTGCTTTCCTTACATGTAAGGGACATGGATGGCGGGTTTCAGTTAAGGTTCTTCTCACAAAGAAAAACTAAACCCCAAGAGAGAGCAGAAAAATGTACAGGCAAAGATCCTAATTGTTTCATATATATTGTGAGAAAATGTAGTAGGTTCATGCCACATGAGAAAAAAAATGACTGATCAAATGCCCTTTATGAAAATAATCCGCATTTAAGACTAATTCTCAATGGTGGAAATACAGACTGGAAAGCTTATAAAGTTTATTTCAATTACCAAATGCTGAAATAGCCTCATAAGATAAGGAAATGTTTAGGAAATCACACAAAACCATGTGTTATCTGTGAACGGGACCTAAAGCATGTGCACAGAGTTTAAGAAAATGGGGGGGGGGGCAGGGAGAGATTATGCATTGTTCATTTTAACATGGGGAAGTTTCATTAGTCACACTTCCGCTCCATCCAACCTACATGGACACACAGCCTGTGGCCACGCCCCATGCTAACCAACAGGTATTTGTCACCCTAGGAAGTCATCATGCACTACGATGATCATGTCAACTGAGCTGTTAATTAGAACCTCCACAGGGTGGGTGGATGGCCAGTCCTGGGAGAGATGACCCAGTACTTCCAACTAGATGAATGCGTATCCATGGATTTGCCTTGCCGACACTCTCTTCGCAGATCTGTGGTCCATGTGGCCTCTCAGCTGCATTTTGAAGCATATCATTTATATCCCACACGAACCAAAATTCAATAAGACAAGCATCATTCTCAATGAGCAATATACCCAGCAACTCTCTATCCCCGTCCCCAAACAAAGAAAAACCTGTCATCTTCCTACCATGTGTAGCACATCAATTACAAAATATTAAAAACTAACTGCCATTCCCAAAATATCTATATCAATTAAGGACATAATTTAGTAAAATGGTCATTTTATTCATTTCTCATCTGGTGAGGTAAAGCACTTAATGAAGGCTCCATTTACAGTTAGTTAGAACCCTTTTCCTAACATGGCTGCAATAAAGCCTACCAACCGAAGCATGCTGCCTCTGGAGCAGGCTGCCAGAGTTCACAGACAACTCTGACACTCCATAGGAAATCAAAGCATGACCCATCCTTCCGAGGTTTAATATGGTGGCTTGAGTGATATGCCCCTTGGAGAGTGCCTTTGCTACAGTCAAATGTGTAGAACTGGATAATTCTATCAGCATCTGTGAAAGGTCAGAAACATGATCTATAATAAAACTATAACAAAATGTTCAGGAGATCCTTAGTCCCCTTCAGGCATTGTTTGTATTATGAGTTTTGAAAAGCTTTCTTTTTTGATTGTACCTTTGTTACACTGTGGAAATTCTCGAAACTTACAAGGCTAGAGTTGGATTGTAATAATTATGAATTATATGGCTTTTCTCAGGATGGAGCACGGTGATAGAGAACTTGCCTAAGGTTCACAAGGGCCTGCTTCAGTTCCTAACATGGAAAACCAAAACGAACAAGCAAAAGTCCTCAGGCTTCCTGAGACCTTTTCCTCCTGACTCGACTGTTGATGTTGCTGGCCTGTTGTGATACACTTTTGGTTCACCTGGTGCCCTCCAATTAGCAAAGCATCTATACTTTTTTATATTTATGAGGTATAAAAACAGCCCATTAAGGTATAGGGACTGTCTCTGACATGAAGTCAGTGGCCTGCTCTCTGATCACCTCCCCCTAGAAGGGGTGCAGCCTTGCCAGGCCACAGAGGAAAATGATGCAGACAGTTCTGATGAGACCTGATAGACTAGGGTCAGATGGAAGGAGAGGAGGACCTCCCCTATCAGGGGACTTGGAGAGGGGCATGGGAGGAGAAGAGGGAGGGAGGGTGGAATAGAGCAGAGACAAGGGAGGGGGCCACAGCTGGGATACAAAGTGACTAAATTGTAATGAAGAAATATATAAATAAAATTAAATTTAAAAATAGCCCATTGAGGATGTATTTAAGATCTTTTCAATGTCAATGAGAGCAGTTCCCGGTTGAATGTATTTGCAACATCTACAAAACACCTAAACCATCACAGCTTATCAGTGTTCCTCTGACCTGTTTGAGAGGCTTTAGTGTAAATTCAGAGTGATCGTGGCGCTTTCAGTTACTGTTTTCAAAGAGCAAAATATTCTCAGAAAAGAAAACGTGATACACACCTACACACTTTAAACACTTTAAAATCGTAAGTGGCAAAGACATAGTGAGTTGACTCTTGCAGATGAACACTTTCAGTAAACTTCTGATAGACTGTAGTTTTAATGCAATCATTTGACAGAGGGTAAAATGTTTTAATTTATTTTTTTTACTATTAATTACACTTTATTCATTTTGTATTCCCCCATAAGCCCCTCCCTCCTCCCTTCCCGGTCCCACCCTACCTCCCCCTTCTTCACTCATATCCCTCCCCAAGTCCACTGATTGGGGAGGTCCTCTTCTCCTTCCTTCTGATCTTAGTCTATCAGATCACATCAGGAGTGGCTGCATTGTCATCTTCTGTGGCCTGGTAAGGCTGCTCCCCCCTCAGGGGGAGGTGATCAAAGAGCAGGTCAATCAGATTATGTCAGAGGCAGTCCCTCTTCCCATTACTATGTAAGCCACTTGGACACTAAACTGCCATGGGCTACATCTGTGCAGGGGTTCTAGGTTATCTCCACGAATAGTCCTTGGTTGGAGTATGAGTCTCTGGGAAGTTCCCTGTGTTCAAGTTTTCTGGTTCTGTTGCTCTCCTTATGTGGCAGAGGATAAAATTTAAAAAGAAAGTTTTAAATTTATTTTAGGAGCAGGGTACAGCAATTGCCATCTACTGATAAAAGGAATGATTTAACCCACATGTCTGCTTCAACAATGTACAGATTTTTCCAGGACAGTGAGGTGAGCATGAACACTATCGTATCTCATCAGTCCATGACCCTGACAGCACACGGTACCTCCACTTGCGTAGGACTCTGCGTCTCCAAGCAGGGGTATCATCTGCACTATGTTACATCAGGTTGGCTAATGCTCTTCTTGATGCCTTTTACCTCTCCTAGCAGGATGTGAGCTAAAGGTATTGTTTTATAATGGAAATCTGTTGTTTGTTAGCTCATTCTGTTAGTTATTAATTTCTTGGATTTTAAGCATAGCTTATGTGGATATACTTTTGTTTGATACAGGATCATGTGCTTTACTCCCAGGAAAATAACACAACAGAGAAGAGTTTGATAACATTACTCAAAAATCTAGTTTCAGAAATCTTTATTCAGAAATATGGGAGTTCTCTTTCTACTAACGTTCTAAAGTTAGACAATTTTCTCTTACGAATTGGATATGTATCTGTCTAATCTATCACAACATTTAGATATATTTCTGTTGGTGGGGAGAGAGAAAGATAGAGAAACAGGTAGTACATAGATAGATAGACAGGCAATAAGTAGACTAATAGCTCAGGAAAAACTGTGTAAGTGTGTTATCTTGAAAAGCTAAAGCACAGAAAACAGAAGTCCTATGAGCACTTGGATTTAACTTGGACCTGAAAGTCAGAAAAGGATTTTAGGAGTCTAGGATTCTAGGCATCCAGTAAAAACAGTGGAAAGCATTGTCTTTTAATTTTTTTAATTTTATATTTTATTTTTATTAATTAGTTTATTCACTTTGTATCCCAACTGTAGCCCCCTACCCCATTCCCTTCCAATTCCACCTTCCCTCCCTCTTCTCTTCCTATGCCCCTCCCCCAGTCCTCTGATAGTGGAGGTCTTCCTCCCTTTCCATCTGACCCTAGCCTATCAGGTCTCATCAGGACTGTCTGCTTTGTCTTCCTCTGTGGCCTGATAGGACTGCTCCAGCCTCAGCGGGAGGTGATCAGAGAGCAGGCCACTGAGTTCATGTCAGAGACAGTCCCTGCTCCTATTATTGGGGAACTCTCTTGGACACTGAGCTGCCATGGGCTACTTCTGTGCAGGGGTTCTAGGTTATCGCCATGCACAGTCCTTGTTTGGAAAGAAATCATGAAATTTGCACGCAAATGTTGGGATCTAGAAAAGATTATCCTGAGTGAGGTATCCCAGAAGCAGAAAGACACACATGGTATATACTCACTTATAAGTGGATATTAGACATATAATATTGGATAAAGATACTAAAATCTGTACACCTAAGGAAGCTAAACAAGGAAGACCCTGGGTAAGATGCTCAATCTTCATTCAGAAAGGCAAATGAGATGGACTTCAGAAGAGGAAGAAAACTGGGAACAGGACAGGAGCCTACCACAGAGGGCCTCTGAAAGACTCTACCCAGCAGGGTATCAAGACATATGCTGAGATTCATAGCCAAACTTTGGGCAGAGTGCAGGGAATCTTATGAAAGAAGGGGGAGATAGAAAGACCTGGAGGGAACAAGAGATCCACAAGCAGAGCAACAGAACCAAAAGTCTTTTCAATTTTTAAACCTCAGTTTACCCGGAAAAAAATATTTATTTTTCCTGAACACTCTTTATTTCCTCAAAAAGGACTTATATTTATTGACATCTCTGTTACTGATTTATTTCAATGTGCGGTTTTGATCTCCACTTCTCTTCTTCTCCACCCTTTCCTTTGCAGTATACAGTGTGGACTGCCCTCTGGGTCACCTGGAATGCGTTCATCATCTGCTTTTATTTGGAAGTAGGTGGCCTCTCTAAGGTGAGTTTATCGTGCCTCGGAAATACGCTTCAAAAGAATACAATTATAAATTAACTATCATGATATACATTTGTACTATTATACTTGAGTGGTAAAATATAGAACATTTAGACATAGTACTAACTGAAAATAGTTGGCATGTGCTACATATCTGTAATCGCAGCACTCAGGAGGTTGAGACAAGAGGATCATTTTAAGATCATGCTTGGCTGTGTAGTGAGTTCAAAGTCAGCATGTGCTATATGGGACCTTGCTTTTAAAAACAGTAATGTCTATATTCTATCATGAGAAAATGAACTTGGAGGACTGCATGTGAATATAAAGGAATTTCAAAATCATGGCTTCTGTTTTTGTTAGAGTGAAATTGAGATTTGTCTTCTAATGAATTCTTGTGTCTGTTTGATGAATATGTAGTATCGCACTGACCTTGGTCCCATACAGTAAAGTAAGCTGGAAAAGGGTTGTAAAGAAGGCAGGTCTATGGATTTTAGCAGGGCCGTGCTGACTGACATACGAACCTATGAACAAATGGCTGTTCTGAGGCTCTCATCAGACAGGAAACTCTGCTCTTAATGCAGCACAGTCCACATGTTATTTCTGTCTGCTTAAAATTGTTATTTTCATCAGGTTTCCTGAAAATATGTCTTTTGATTGTTACAGAAATATAAAAACAAATTGTTTAATTTTAATTTTTATTTTTTCTTCACAATTTATTCATTATATATATCCCGATTAAAGCCCCCTCCGTCAACTCTCTCTATTCCCACCCTTCCTCCCTCTTCTCCCATCACCTTCCCCTAGTCCACTGAAGGGGGGAGTTCTCCACTATTGCTATCTGCCCATAGCTTGTTAAGCTCATCAGGACTGCCTGGATCCTCTCCCTCTATGGCCTGGCAAGGCTGCACCACCAGCGGGGAGTGCTCAAAGAACAGGCAACCAAGTTCACGATAGAGGCAGCCCCTGCTCCCCTCACTCAGATATCTACATGGAGACTGATCTGTCAATCAGCCATGTCTGAGCAGGGGTCTAGGTCCTCTCCACGCGTGGTCCTACTTGGTGCATGAGTCTCTGCAGGACCCCCTGAGCCCAGATCTTTTAGTTTGGTTGGTCTCTTCCTGGGGTTCCTGTCCTCTCCATGTCCCTCTATCCCCACCCCTCTCTTCCTCCGTAATACTCCCTGTGTTCTGCCCAAAGTTTGGCTGTGAGTCTCACCATCTGCTTCGATCCCTTGTTGGGTGGAGCCTTTCAGAGGACCCTTTGTAGTAGGCTCCCATCCTGTTTCCTCTCTTCCACCGCTCTGGTGTCCATTCTGTCTGCCATTCTGAATGAGATTTAAGCATCCTCCTTAGGGTCCTCCTTGTTGTTTAGCTTCTGTAGATGGCTATCCTATGTTATACAGCTAATATTTGCTTATAAGTGAGTGCATACCACGCCTGTCTTTCTGTTTCTGGGTTATCTCACTCAGGATGATCTCTTCTACTTCCTTCCAGTTGCTAGAAAATGCCACGATTTTCTTGTTTTTAATAGTATTCCATTGTGTAGATGTATCACAATTTCTGGACCCATTCCTCCATTGAGGGACATCTAGTTTGTTTCCAGATTCTGGCTATTAAAAATGAAGCTGTTATGAAATACTTTCCTCTGTGATCCTATGAAAGCATCCTAACAGGGCCAGCGTTGTCAGTGATGGTGACAGCAAATGTTGGTTCTGTTAGGTTTATCACACATGGTAACTACGTATGCTTCAAAACAACTCTGTGAAAAATGCATAACAGCCATCGTTTGCTCAGCACAAGTCTAATTGCTGTTGCTGCTCAAGATTACTTTGTGAACTGCCCTTTGTAATTATTTTTCTAACCTCTAAGGTAGTCAGTCTTCAGGAGTGCAGAGAGACCTCCATATAGGCCCCTCCTTGGCAATGCTTGCATCACTGCTCATGTTTGAGTTCCTTGTAAAAAATATCAATAGCTGGAAAGCACATAGCATCGAGCTGAGCCCAATCGGTTGATGTATTTGTCGTCTTAGTTATTCATTTTAACCCATTCAAAAATCCATTAAGCTGTCAACACATAGATTCGGTGACAGGATGTGAGACTGCAAAAGAAGCGGTCTCAGTATTTTCTGTTTACGTTCTTTACAGCCTTTCTGGCTAGCCACATTTAATCTCAAACGGGGCCTGCAGGAACCTATTCTGAAAGAGTATAGTTAGGAAGCCTAGACAAAGAAGTGCCCCTGCCAAGCGTCCAGCTGGATTCTGTTTTCTAAGAAATCCCTCATCCGCGTGTGCTAGTTTGTGTACCAGACTTGTAACAGGGAGTTCTCTGTTTCCTGCTAGTCCATAAAGCATTTCTGTAATTACCCACTTTAGTAGATTAACAGAAACCACCGGGTACCTTGAGGTTTACCAGAACACATTCTTGAACAAAAAACCTGTTGAGCGATTTTTCCTGGGGAATTACACGGAAAGGTTTATTTATACCAGAGAGACGGTACAGCAATAGGCCAATAAAATAGTTCTGTCCAAGTCCAGCTTAATGACCCTGTGTCATCCAGGGTTTCCAGAGAAACAGAATGGCCATGGTGAGCATATCTTACAGAAGGAGTTTATTATATCGGCTCACACCATTCAGGCTGGGCAGGCAAACATTGCCATCTGCATGCTGGAGAGGCTGAGAACATGGCTGTTGCTCAGTCCGTGAGAAGACGTGCCTCAGCAGTCCCAATCTGGATAGTTACTGGTCTTCAGTCAAAACCAGAAGTCCAAAGAAGCCAGGCTCTGATCTCACCAAAGAGAAGCGGCAGCATGGGGCGGGGAGGAGATGAACACCTCAGCCAGGCAGGTGGGCGGGCGGGCAGGTAAAAAGCAACAGCTCTTCCTGCAGACTGGGCTGCTACTGGAGGGACTTCCCTCCGAATTTAATCCTTCCAAAAAAAAAAATAGTTTGTGAATTACAGAGATGTCTGTTGTACTTGACCCCAGATCCCAATAAAATTGACAAGATTAACGGGGACAAAACCCATGACCTTTGGGGGATTGCTTACAGGTAAGACCAAGGCGGCTCACCACAGCATGAGTGACTCCCAAACCGCCTCACTGAGCCTGCAGTTCCTTAGATCAGTCTCGGGCAGTTTACACGCCTTTCTCCCCTGGCAGTTGCTTGTTGTTCCTATAACTTTGCAGATGGGCCTCGTGAATCCCCTGAGTTTGCTGAGTATTCTGGTGTCATGAGTTGTGTCTCCCTGCTTCCTCGGGAAAGAAATGTTTCTATCCCCAAGAAACCGCTGTGGAATAGACTCTTCCTGCAAACACTGCACCCAGAGTAATCTTGTTTTGTGTGTAGCTGGGGGTCGTTCCACCACGGCCTAAGAGTGACCACCTGGTACCCTAACGTAACGATACGGTGAGAACACACAGGGAGGCGGGAGCCTTTGCTTGGCACAGACAGCGTGGTGAGGTAGATTGAAACCAACCCTGTGTAACGTCTATACCTGAGCATAAATGGACTCTGGAAGGTCTTTTTTAAAATCAAGGCAAGCAATTTGAAATAAACTACAAAACATGGTACAAATTTAGGAAAATTTAAAATAATTTTAATAGTAAAATTTTAAAACAGTAAAATAATTTTAATAATAAAATAAAAAATGTTAATTAAAAAACAGTAGATTTTATGGATGATCCAAACAGTGCTCAGAGACTACACATTCAAGAAAATACTACTAAAAAAGAAAGTTAAAAAATATTTACAGCCTTCCATCTAGAGATAAGAGGAAAATGACCAAGCTGTGTAGGTGATACTTCGTTGCTTTAGGTTAATAAATAAATGAACATTTAACTCAAAGATAGAGAAACAGCAACTCAATTCCCATTGTCAATAAAGAGTCATAACTATAAATGGTACAGACATAGAAAAACACCGTCTACTTTGGCATTTTAAATGAAATTAATTGATTCCTTAACAAAATAACAGCAAAATTAACATAACCAAAAATAGAAAAAAAAATCCAACCAAAACTGAGTATTAAAACATTTTCAAAACAAAACAAAACAAAGCAAAAACCCTCAAGCCCACACACAACCAAGAATAAACCATGAAGTAGCCATACTAACCCCTGTGTCACCTTTTTGGATAATGGAGGAAAAATATTTCCACGATACATTTGTGATCTCACATGATCCTGGCATTACATATTATGTGGGTGCTTTGCTGTCACTGAAATCCTACCAGTCCAGGTATCTCCCAGGAAAAACTATATTTTTAAAGTTAATTTGCATTCCTGGATGTTTTTAAAAGCCACTTAACTTAATGACATCCAACTTTTATATTGCCACCGGAGTCTCGGTAGCTTTACGATTTTGTGTTATGTAACACAGCATACGTGGTATAAGTGTACGTAGTTTTCACACATATTCTTTGCTATTATGAGTGGCTTAACTGAGGTTACTATTGATGGGTGTAAATGCTATGGGCAAAAGCAGATTGGGGAGGAGAGGGTATATTTGGCTTACCTTCCACATTACTGCTTGTCTTGGAGGAAGCGTAAACAGAGCTCAAGCAGGGCAAGAACCTAAGAGACAGGAGCTATTGAAGAGCCCATAGAGAAGTGCTATGTACTGGCTTGTTTCTTTGTGTTTTATAATATCCGGGAGCACCAGTCCAGAGGTGGCCCCACCCACAATGGGCTAGCCCCTCCGACATCGATCATTTATTAAGAAAATGCCATCTAGGGTTAGCCACGGGCTGATCTTTTAGAGACACTTTCTCAGTTGCAGCTTCCTCCTCTTGGATGACTCTAGCTTGTGTGAAGTTGACCTAAAACTTCACACAATGGAATGGAATATGAACTAGGTTTCTTTCCTCGTTTGGGAAGGTGGGGAAGATGTTGCTAATGTCAAATGAAAGACCTTATTTTATCTTGTTTACTTCTTTAAGATTTTTAAAATATTAAATATTATTCAGTGTACTCAGGTATCAAATTCTTTTGCTCTTTCTGTTAATTTG